CTTGGCACCTTCCCGATCACTATGGACCTGCTCCTACAGAGGGACACTCCTAGCCCAGCGCCTCTGTAGGGAGGATCACCTGTAGAAAAGAGAACCAGAGTCAGGATTGGGGTCCCGCTACCTGAAGAAGGAAAATTCCTAGTCAGTGAACACAGCCATGGGCAGAATTGGGGCATCCTTCTCACCATCATTCCCTTTCCCTTCCTTCCTTCCATAGGCTCAGTGGTTTGTCTTTTGAGAGTTACTTCATAATTACTGTTCCTTTATCCAACCCCCGCTCTGCCAGCATCTCTTATCTCTCCCACTTCCAGAGACCTTGCCCTTCATCCTCTCCACCCGCCCGATGTTCTCTTGGTCCCGAGGATAATTGGGAAACCATTGGGATCACAAGAACATGATTCAGCTCTCCCGTGACCTGATGACGAACTTTACCTGCTCCCTCAGGTTGGAGTCCCAGGTCAGAGTAGGGAGCTGCTCTGAATGTCCCTGATGCGCAGCCAGGATGCAACCCACCTGCTGTGAGCAGCCAGTCCCAGGAGAGCAGAAGACACTCCTGGTTGCGCAAGGGAGCATCATGAGGCCAGGCGCCCAGCCAGGGAAAACTAACCCCAAACCGAACCTCCAACCCGGCGCCCCTTTAATTCCATTCTAAAACGTACCGCTCACTCCTGTAAGGAAAATCAGCCCACCCCAGCCCCAGTGCGCCTCTCCACCCTGAGTTGCCCCTACTTGCACCCCATTCTCCTCCCCACGCCACTCAAGGGCCTCCGTGTCTTCTCAGCACTCTCTGCCTTCAGAATCCGCCTTCCGGGCTTTCGTTTCTGCTGGAACCAAACAGAGGCCCGTGCGCGTTACTAGGTGTTTGTCTGCCCGGGCGCCACCTCTTCCCCCGCCCTCCCGGCCCGCTGCGACCGCCCCCGGGAATGTCAGGACTCCTCCCTGGGCCTGAACTTGAAAGGCAGGGGCTGGACCACGCCCTGGCCCCAAGCAGTGGGCCCCAAGGTTCTGGGTCTCAGTCCCCCGCGGAGCCGACCGCTGGCGCGATGGTGGCCGTCTGGCTGGTGCACGTCGGGCAGAAGCTGCTGCTCTGGGGCGCGCTCAGCGCCGTCTCCCTGGCCTGCGCCACCCTCATCCTGAGCTTCCTGCAGATGATGGCGAGCTACGCGCATAACTGGCTGCAAATGAGGCCCATCCCCACCATTCCCTGCGCCTACCCCTTCGTGGGACACTTGCTGATCCTGGAGCGAGGAGGGAAAGGTAAGAGACTGCGCGCCCGGGCCGGCCGCATCCCCGCCACGGGCTGTTGGGCCCCTTGCAGGGAACCGCCCGCTTACCCGCCTGGAACAGCAGGACTGGAGCTGCAGGCTGCTGGGTGAGCGGCGACTCTATCACCCCCTGGATAATGGGTTCCCACTTCTCTCCAGTTGTCGTACACATAAGTGCAGTGCTTCTAAACTCCCGTCTTTCTGCCTTTTCTCTTCTCATTTTCCCAACTCCTGGCTGCTGCTACACTGCCTGTATCTCTAGCTGGCTTGGCTCAGTGGATAGTCTACTGAAGAGTCACTGGTTTGATTCCCTTCAAGGGCATATGCCTGGGTTTCGGGCTCCATCCCCAGTGGGGGGGAGGGGGTGTGCAGGAGGCAGCTGATTAATGATTCTCTCTCATCACTGATGTCTTTATCTCTCCCTCTCCCTTATAAAAATATATTTAATAAGAAAAAACAGCAACAACAAAAAACACCTCCTGTTTTTCTTCTGTCTTTACTGTTAAAGTTCTAAAGGCAGATACAACTTATAACTTAGTCTCTCTCTCTCTCTCTCTCTCTCTCTCTCTCTCTCTCTCTCTCTCTTTCTCTCTCTGTCTCTCCCTATCCTCTCTCTCCAAAATATGGGACAAGAAATGCACTTGAGACCAGAGCTTCTCCCTGCAGAAATCACAAGACTTGACCACAACTTTATTCCTCCTTGGCCCTTCTAAGGAAGTTACATACCAACATGAATTATGATGTTATTCACCAAGGCCTGCTCCATAAGTCATACAACAAGTTTCAGAAATATTATTTGTTAAGGAGTGAATTGGTTTTTTATTGAAATCATCTTTTGAAGCTGATAGCCTTTATGTTATGTTAAGATTGGGGTAGAGGGGTCACTTTAAGTTAGAAAGCTCCTAAAAGTCCCTGATGTTTGGATGCCCCATGAGGGAGGATGAGTTAGATCTTAGCACTTCATCTTCCTGGCTGGATAAGTTGAGATGCCAAGAACTGAAAAGATTTGCCCCAAGTGACATATTTTAAAATGAGCCTATAGTCTATGTCATTCTAGGCCCTAGACCTAGAATCCAATCACCTCTCAGTTTAACTGAAGAAGTTTTATAGACTGAACATCAATTCCAAAGCTTAAAGGGTTATTTCTTTTCCACTTTCCTTTCTCCAAATAAAAATAATGCTGTCATTTCAACTTCACGGGAATACATGAGGCCTCATGGGAGAGTGTTACCAAAATACAGAAAATGTTTCTGGCAGAAGAAATCCCAGTAAACTTTTAACCTACCAAACATCAATGTGACTAATGTTGCAAGTGATGCAGCAAATTTTGATATATGAAAACTACATTTGTAAAAATCATCATGGCGAACACTAAAGACAGAGCTAATCTTCCCTTCTACCCAAAGGCTTTATAATATT